TGTTTCAAACAGTGAAATTACCAGTTTTTATTTCACTGATATATTTCTATAAACCACCGAAAAGCATGTAATAAATTTATTTGTATTGCAGATTATTTAATATTTGCTGATTTTGTAATGAAGTTGAATGAATTTTCCTTTATAGGCAGAAGTGGTCTTACCTCATATTTCGGACGCCCTATTATGGATGGAAAAGAGCAGAATGTCGGGGCGTCATCACCGGCGAAACCTGCCTTACACATGCCCGACCCATTGTCAATAACGACTGCGTATTTCATCTGTATCTTCCATATATTGCTAGACTTCATGTGTTAAGCTGTCTTTAATAAAGTTGGAGTATTTCATGTCAAAATGAAAAAAAATAACCATATCACTAGAACAGGCAGTAAAATGATGATTCAAACAATTTTACCTAGAACACTTGAAAAGAATACTTTGACGGCAAATTCAATCATAATATATTCTTAAGTTGCTAAATACAAACTAAAACATTTGAAATAATAAGAAACTTACATCAAATCAAATAGTACACTTAAATGTCTACATATATACAATGTATATAGTTAATGTTAACTCATGCGTACCTCTTCCTACATGCATACAGATATAAAGATTTAAAAGTGAATGGTAGGTTAACTATACATTACATATATCTTGAAACACTACAAGTTAGAAAGTGTTTTTTTTTGGTAAATATACCAATGCTACTTTTTTGATTCGTCGTTATTAATAAGAACAAGAGCTGTCAATCAGTGCTTGACATAAGTTCAAAACCGACGATACCGACGCCGGGGGTAAGGACAAACGCCGGGGGTAAGGACAATGACTCTCTCTCCCCTATTCTTCGAATAGTCGAGCTAAACAATTATTGTTTATGACCAAGCTTCTGTATTTCCGAAATTAAAGCGTCATAAAATTTTGAAGAGAAGCAGATAAGATATGATTCAGACACATTTGCGATATCCTGTTTTAATTAATGATATAAATTTACGGCCTAACTTAATTTCATTAATGCTGACGTTGAGTTATTTTATATTATCAATACATGTAAACTACTAATAGTGCTTTATACGCTGATATAAATCATTTAACAATTGATATATAATAATTTTAAAACTAATATATTTATGTATGTTTATATACATGTATATGTATTATACTTACTGTAAAATATGTTTACTATCCACTCCGGTGAATAAATAACATACTGATTGCTGTATCTATACCTATTTCGTATACTTCATTTAACATGCTATATATGTATACACACACCTTTATCTGAAATATGTTTGTTTTTTGTACAAATCAATTGGGTACGACTTAAAAAGGAAATCCGTTTGTATATAAATAGCTATTACATGTACATTAATCTATAAATAGAAATTATGGTTTAAAATTGTACAAGGGAAGTAACTATTTGTTTTACATATTCAATCACGGAATCGTCGGTTATTATCTATAATAACCTTATTCGAACTTAAAATGTTGGGACATATATTATATTCAATAATATAAAAACGTTTTTAGACCACCGATCCTAAGCACAATTACGAACACAAATGAAACATGCATGTAGCAGATTTAAAGGCTTTTCATAAACTGAGAATTTAATTGATGCGTTATATATGTTAAGGATAATACTTAAAATATTTACTGTGACTACTTGCTTTTCGTTCCGGTGGATTCAAATATTATATACAGGCCTTAAAGTTTTCTCTGGTTTCATAATAATTTTTTAAAGTGACATTTACTAATATTTTTTCATTGTCAAGATGAGCTGAAAATTGACTTTATATTTTCAAAAGAGTGACTGTTTAAATGATATTTGACCAACAGATTATATTGGAAAATGTTTAAAAATATCTGCCTATAATATAGAAAGACTGCCCCACTCTTTTTATAAATTGAACATAACAGGTACATTTTAAGTTCTTTAATAAGTGAAGATCAAACAGGATTTATTCCAGGTCGGTTCCTTGGTGAAAATGTTAGATTAATTTATGATTTTAATGAATTTTACTGAACAAAATGGGCGTCCAGCAATGTTTTTACTTATTGATTTTGCCACTGCTTTTGATTCTATTTCATGGCAATTTATGTCAAAGGTTTTAGAGTTTTTTAATTTTGATGAAGACATTAAGTCTTGGATAAAAAATTTCTACAATAACATTCAGTCTTGTGTCACTGTAAATGGCCATTTGTCTGACTGGTTCTTCATTCATAGAGGCTGTAGACAAGGTGATCCCCTATCACCGTATTTATTTATTCTCTGCGCAGAAATTCTGTCAATGCTAATCAAACAAAATAAAGACATTAAAGGTGTTAAGATAAATAATAAGGAATTTCTAATATCACAGTATGCAGATGATACTACATTAATTTTAGATGGTTCAGAAAAATCTTTAAATACCTCTATAAATGTTTTAAAATTTTATGCTAAAATATCTGGTCTGCATGTTAATATTGAAAAAACAAATGCAGTTTAGATCGGATCTAGGAAAAATAATAACATGGAACTATGTCCACAACTAAATTTAAAATGGGGAAAAATCCTTTAAACTCTTAGGGGTAATATTTACACTGAATTTGGATGAAATTATTAAAGTTAACTATAATTCAAAAATCGAAGAAATTAAAACTATTTCCTATTTGGTCAAAAAGAATTCTTACACCATTGGGGAAAAATACAGTAATTAAAACTTTAGCAATTAAACCATTTAATAATGGATCTTCCTAGTTCTACAGACAATTTGATTAAAGAGATACAAACCTTATTTTACATTTTCTTTTTGGAACAATAATCCTGATAAAATAAAAAGAAGTGTAATAACTCAAAATTATGAAGATGGGGGAATAAGAATGGTAGATCTTACATCCGTCTTACCAGCCTTAAAACTTACATGGCTAAGGAGACTTTACAATAGTAAAGGTAAATACTTATCTTTAGTTGAAGCAATGTGTCCTTTTATTAAATCATATGATAAATTTGGTTCTGATTTTGTAAAATATAAAATAAAGGACATCAAACATATTTTCTGGAAAGAAATTGGGTCTGGCTATGTTTCCTATATGGAATCTTTAAATATAAGGTCATGGAATAAATTTTTATCTCTACCTGTTTGGTACAATCATAAGTTTAAGGTAAGTGGAAAATCCTTCATTGATAAATCTTTTCTTAACAGAGGAATAATATTTATAAATGATTTTATGAATGAAAATGGCAGCTTTTATACAGGAATTTCAAAACAAATATTTCTTTACCACAAACTTTTTACAATATAATAATATCATACACTCTTTTAGATCATATTTAGATTCCTTAAGAATTTCCCATAATTCAATAAAAGAAGTAAAATCCATTACAACCTTTATTTATTAAGATGATGAATACATCAGTAAAGGGTTGCAGAATATTCTATGATACACTTGTATAATAAATCCACTAATATTGTTTCTAAAATCAAAATGGTTAAGAGATCTAACACCAATCATCTAGACTGGAAAAATATATACAAGTTACCTTTTAAAATTTTAAATGAAACTAAATTACAATGGTTTCAATATAGGATAAATCACAGAATATTAGACACTAATCAACTTTTGCTTAAAATTGGTTTACGACAAGATGACTTGTGTACTTTTTGTCACACAGCGAGTGAAACTATACCACACCTGTTTTTTTATCTGTAATTTTGTGAATATATTTTGGCAAACTTTAAAGACATGGCTGAACCAATCCTCCCCTGCGGTAAATGTTAATTGGTCTACAAATAAATCAGTGATAAACCAGATAATCATACTTGCTAATTACTATATATATCAGAGTAAGATCAAAATGACGGTACCTGATTTTTCAACTTTTAAAAAGCATTTCTTTTCCTATTTTAAAGCAGAACATTTGGTTGCTGTCCAAACTTTTAATCTAAATAAGTTTAATATAATTTGGGCCCCACTAGCATCACTTACACCGACACAGGACAGGTAGAATATTTGTTTACTTTATATATATGCGTTTAATTAACACATAACTTAATGTTGTGATTTTTTTTTAAATCGTGGTTCGCTTGATTTTTGGTTTGCTCCATCTTTTAAATGTTTTTTTTTTTTGTTCAACAAGCTAGATAAAAAAAAACATCCACCTGACACTCTTGAACCTTTATTTTTCTTTTTTTTCTTCAAGCTTTAAACATTCATATGATTATGTTAGAACTATGCATTTAACATGGTTTGAATGGTTTGCTTACAGGAAAATCAATGTTCATTTTAGATTTTACGTGCTCAAAAAAAAACATTACTATATCCATTTATGGTAAAATAGAGAATAGGTCAAATATTAACTATAAATTATAAAGAAGTTTCTGAAAATGTCTATAGGTTTGTTTTTATGCATTTAGAAAATACTATAATTATGTAATGTCCTTGTGAACTTATATGAATTTATATACTATTGTATGTCTTTGTGAATTTCAAGATATGTGATAATGTTTGTATGTGAAATTAGAAAATAAAGTTACAAATTAAAAAAAAAATAACAGGTACATTCTAAATGATATTTACTGAAATTTCGTTTGAATCCGGTGGTTGTTTATTGTTTATGCGAAGTAAATTATTAAATCAAAAAGAATTATGGCAAAATGAAAATTTATTTTGACTCTTACCTGTTAAATCACTATATACCTTTAGATGGGCAAAATGTCACTTTAAGCATTGAAATCAATTGACCCTTGACCTGATAAATTTCTAAGACTGACATAACCATCTTCCATTTAAACTATGTCCATTACCAATCCTCGGGAATTCATAATAAAAATTACAGAGCAGTGGGGTACAGTTAAATGTAGTTCATTTTAATATCATTTCCAAAACAAGTTGGATGCACGCTACATTTTTATCAGTTCGCATATTTAATTTCAAAGACATAAATATATGTTAATTTATTATTTAAATTTCAATTATCATAACTTATGTCATTCCATATGTCATGATATCAAAACGACCGGATGAATGATATTGTAAACTTGATGCAATCGCGAGGGCAAAGAGCTGAACAAAGCAGCCCCACCCCCCACCCCCCTACAACCCCACCCGGACACCCTCTGAATGAAGGTGTGGAGTTTATGCAGAATGCTACTGTTGCTCGGCAACCGTTCTTGCTTCTTATGTCATGGATTCATATGCACGTAGCAATAAAGACAGCTAACCATTTTGAAGGGCGAAGTCAGTTTGGACGTTATGGCGACGCTTTAGAGGAGTTAGACTGGTCCGTTGGTGCTATTTTAAAAGCTCTAGAACAGCTCGGTCATGGAGATAATACGCTTATTTATTTCACGTCGGATAATGGCGGCCATCTTGAAATTGGGACGGACGGGGGTTATATCGGATTCCTAAAAGGTATGTTATTTCCAGCAAAATGCATGTGTGATAATTGTTGTTTTTGAACTAATATTACTACAGGCTGTCACCATTTTTTTCTTTGGCTTCTGACAAGATCGAGACTTTCTTGAGGCTGTACGTACAAAACCTTAATTTGACTTTACTGCTTACCCGGTCAATACCTGTTCCTGTTTAAACAGATAAAACCTAGAACCAAATCCACATGTAAAGGTAGAAAGTTGCCTTATGATTAAAAAGTTTTTGAAATATTATAGTGTTCAATGTTTTCTTTAATCAGTTGTTGTAATGTCAGAATAAATGTCAAAAAAGATAAAAGGAAAGAAACGGGGGGCATTTTGCATAGTTAAATACAAAAAAAATTATTCTAATGGACTCAAGCACTTTTTGTTCAATATAGGTTAAGCATAGATGGCCCGTCCAATGGAGTTCAGCATTTGCTTCAGAATGTATAATAAGCTCATACTATCGGCAATATCTTGTCGTTCTGGTGATTTTTCCCTCGGAATACAATTTTAATGGGTAGTGCCAAAATGCCAAACTTGTTTTCCGTTTAATTGACATCAAGTAAAAATATTAACATCTTTTATATTTTATTAGCTTAGTTAATGAATATGTCAAATTGATGCCACCATTAAGTTAATTACATTTGTTTGTAAACATTTTCTATCACAGGAGGCAAGACACATGGTGCTCCAGATGGCGGGATTCGAGTACCAGGTATAGTTAAATGGCCGGGCGTCCTTCCACGTGGAAAGGTTACGGACGAACCCACTTCATTGATGGACATATACAATCTTGTCTCGACTGCAGTCGGGGCAAATTTACCGCCAGATAGAGAAATAGACGGAGAAGATATTTTACCTCTATTGAAAGGTGACGTTTCGGTGTCGCTGCGTGAATTCATGTTCCACTACTGCGGAAACAGGTTAGAATCGGCTAGATACAGGCCAAAAGGTGGTATGTGACATTTTAATTAACTTACATTTGTCTCTCTTAAAGTATATATTATTTAGTTACAGTATTTTATAACATAGTCAAGTTTTAGAGAGCGTTTTAATATTTAAGTTTAGGTAAAACATATGTGTTTCATTTAACTGATACATTGTAGGAGTCACGTGTAGACACGTTGTGATGACATATGTAGGGTCCGAAATAATTTCTGTCATTGCAAAACGAAATTAATCTCCAGTGCATTTTTAGAAAATCGTGTAACACTATGTATTCCTTATGAGAGAAAAGTTAAACAGAAAACGATTTATTTTGAAATGTATGATAACTCGTATGTTTTGGCGAAACCTGGTCTTAAAGTTCTCTCCAAAAGTCAGTTAAGGTTTTGGAACTAATTTCGTAATTTGTAAGAATTGCATGGTAATAAATGTTTCAACTTTGATTGACTTCTTCTAATTACAGGTTCAAAAACATGGAAACTGGTAACACATGAACCAAATTTAATCCCCGGATCAAAATTATGCCAGTTTGTCTGCAGTTGCAATTTAAAAATTCACTTAGCAACGCCTAAACTCTATGATATGACCTCTGACCCTGGTGAAACCACACCCATTGACAGCAACTCCAAACTGTACAGAAATATAACGCCCATTATACAAAATGCTATTTATAACCACAAAAATTCTATAAAACCAGTTGAAAGTCAGTTTACATGGGCAAAACTCGCGCCCAAACTAGCATGGCAACCATGTTGTAATGGACACTTTCCTTTCAACTGTGAATGCACTGATCCAAAATATTCGGAAAATTTCACTATGATTATGTAGGTATGTCAAACCATATTTTAACATTTATGGCTTTATGCTATACGTATTCAATTGATTGATATTCCTGATATTTATTGCGATATCTGTGAAAATAACAAAATAATACAAAAATAAATATACATTAATGTAACGATTAGTTTCTTATGTTTTTATCGTTAGCCAGGATGTCAATCAAGTGCATTGTGTAATCATATATTTTATAACTTCATAAATGATATGTAAATTAAACAAAATCACAATTTATTAAAATTTTAGCATAGACATGCTTCGAGTTTTCTGAAGCTAGCATATGGAACGCCGTGACTGTCTTATGTAATCAAAGTTTTTGTTATTTTGTGAAACGATGATATTATTTTGTCGTTTGAGCGTGTTAACATGTGCAATTTACATCATGTCTTGTCAAAGGAACATGCTGACTTGTACAAACAACATTTTAACTTGTCAAATGATTATGATGACATGTGCAGACAACATCCTAACTTGTCAAAGTATCGTGATGACTTGTGCAAACAACATGTTAACTTGTCAAAGTATAATGATGACTTGTGCAAATGACATGGTAACTTGTCAAAATGTAATGATGACTTGTGCAAACGACATGTTAACCTGTCGAATTATTGTGATGACATGTGCAAACAGCATGTTAACTTGTCAAAGTGTCATGATGACTTGTGCAAACGCCATGTTAACTTGTCAAAGTATAATGATGACTTGTGCAAACGACAAGTTAACTTGTCGAATTATCGTGATGACATGTGCAAACAGCATGTTAACTTGTCAAAGTATCATGATGACTTGTGCAAACAGCATGTTAACATGTCAAATTACCATGATGACTTGTGAAGACATCATGTGAACTTGTCAAAGAATCGTGATGACTTGTGCAAATGACATGTTATCTTGTATCATGATGACATGTCAAAACGTACTGTTAACTTGTCAAAGTATTATGATAACTTGTGCAAATACCATGCTAACATGTCAAAATTCCATGATGACATGTGTAAACAGCATGTTAACTTGTCAAATTATCGTTATGACATGTGCATACAGCATGTTAACTTGTCCAAGTATCATGATGACTTGTGCAAACGACATGTTAACTTGTCCAAGTGTAATGATGACTTGTACAAATGCCATGTTAACTTGTCAAAATTTCATGATGACATATGCAAACAGTATGTTAACTTGTCAAACCATCGTGATAACATGTGCAAACAACATGCTTACTTGTCCAAGTATCATGGTGACTTGTGAAAGCGACATGTTAACTTGTCAAAATTTCATGATGACAAGTGCAAACAGCATGTTAATTTGTCAAGGTATCGTGATGACTTGTGCAAATGCCATGTTATCTTGTCAAATTATCATGATGACTTGTACAAACAACATGTTAATTTGTCAAAGAATCGTGATGACTTGTGCAAAACACATGTTAACTTGTTAAGGTATTATGAGCATGTCATCACGATAATTCGACAAGTTAACATGCTGTTTGCACATGTCATCATGACATTTTGACAAGTTAACATGTCGTTTGCACAAGTCATCATGTTATTTTGACAAGTTAACATGTCGTTTGCACAAGTCATCATGATACTTTGACAAGATAACATGTTGTCTGCACATGTCATAATGATTATTTGACAAGTTAACATACTGTTTGGACAAGTCAGCATTGTCTTTAGACAAGATATGATGTAAATTGCACATGTTAATATGGTTAAATGACAAAATAATATCATCATTTCAGAAGATAACAAAAATATTGATAGCATAAGACAGTCACGGCGTTCCATACTAGCATCACAATAGAATGTATAGGTATAAAAAAGATAAAATAGTCACATGTCCTTTCGTTTGTACCATTCTCTATAAACTTTAACTAGAATTGTTCCATTGCGGTTTGCAATAATAATCGACCTTAATTTGAGGCTCTATTTAATTCCATAACATCATTGCTAAATCTGCTAGCAAAAATTACCACAATCCATAAATGTCGTACTCTCTCTCTCTACTGATTCCCCTTGGCGATAGATCTGTAGTGAAGTACCGGTTATACAGAAAAATGGCTACACAAATCTTATCATTCAGTTTTTAATCTTTATACATTGTATTTTGTTCTCTCGACTTCAATACCATCTTTGACATATTAATATCATCACGAACTTTGCCATTTAAATTGGCCATCACGTCTTTTCCAGAAGAAAAAAAACCCTAATAAAAACACTTCCGGTGTACAATTGTCGGCCCATTTTCCTCATATTCTGTTTTACTGACCCACATATCTTGAAAAATTGATAGCGAGGCTATAATTGAGCCTCCAATCCACACAGAGTACTTTCTTCCAGGCGGTGCTACGACCTTGACTATATTTTTTAGAGGAACCAAGCGTTTCAGATCTTGTTCTACTCTTTCTTTCATTCCTACAAAGAATTAAATAACATGATACTGATATTAGAGAATTAAAGAAGAAAAGATGATATAATTAAAGTTATATTTGAATTAATAATATTGCTGAAAATAATGAATTTTCTAGTTGGATTTATCGTTATGTGTTCGTTCCTTGTATCAGTGTATGCACCGCAAATTATTTAGTATATTTCCCTGTGAAAGTCTAAAGAGTTTTGCATTTATAAAGGCGCACCTGTCAGCTTCCGTCTTTAAAGGATTCGTGGACGTATGAGAACAAAATCGTTTGAATAAGATATGTATATTGCAGATTTTACTTATTTACCTGGGAACATAGTGGACCCTCCCGAGAGGATAATATTGACGTAATAATGTCTTCTAAGGTCAATGTCACATTTCATAATAGATTCATGTACCATGTTACTGAAACCAAACTGTTCTTTGCCTGAAAATATACATAAACACATGATAAGATATTTATCTATCAACATGTTAAGATGGGAAAATAAAAAATAGCTATAAGTTATTAATTTAGTGATTCAAATTTAAATATAAAACAATCCAGAACACTCGACATTTTATTTTGGTTATTTTTTATTAATAACACAATCTCATATACTAGGCTTTTCTTCTTCAATCCCTCTCGATATGGGCACGTTACGGAAATGCACCTTGAGGTAATGCCATCTTAAGTATCAAGGGTGGCTGCTGAGTATCTCGAGAGGGTGTGGCCTTACAAAGCGCCGTCTGGAGGAACGATGCATTGACTCGAGACAAAAATTTGCCGGTTGTATCATGCAAAGGTTTGGGAAGTCTTTGAACCATGGGACGAAGGAAAAGTCTTTGCGCCAAAAAAGACTGCACCGTGGTTCACAGAAAGGGACCGGCAATGTGCATATATTCTCTGGTGAGTATAAATAAACAAACGCTAGAACTCGGCTTTGTGTTACTGTTCGTTTGTGGCGTCCATTTTGGATACGATGAACGCGACAACTTATGATGATTTCGTAAGATCTACTCATACATTAATTACCTTGACCACCGTTTCAAAAAAGGTTACGAACCTAATAGAGTGTGATCGAATAACGCCTCAGCGCAACGAAATCTTTCACTCCCAATTACAATTTTCTGACCATCCGGAAGTTCATACGTCATATCATTTGCGGAAGTACATTCTGTCGTCTGCAATTCCTTCTGGAAGTCTAGTGCGACATATCCTAGTTTTTCTTTAATATCTCGGACAATTTCCATCTCGGCTGAAATAAAATTATGGTATAAAAACTAATTGTTACTCTGCAGTTTAGATTTGAATCTGAGAAGTAAATGTAAATGACCTTGACATTGTTTGACCAAATGTGAACAGCCGTGAATCATATCTACTTCATTGTAAAAGATTCGATTTTGGTATAATTATATACCCAGCAGGCACTCGACGTTGTTTCAACGTTGAAACAACGTTGAAATATGGTCGTGACGTTGTTCAACCAATATTCAACTATAAACGACCATACGGATATATAGCCAATGTATATACAACGTTGATTCAACGTTGTTTATGGTCGAAGTTTTACATTTAGTTTAATCATTATATAAACTTTTATACCACTAATTTTGTGTTATTATTCCTATATTGAATTTGTCTGTAAGTGATTTTTGTCAGGAAAATTTGCGTTACAATCTTTTTCCGTATATTCAAAATTAGTGCTGAAACTAAATAATTTTTCACTTTCTATTAACGCTTTAAATATTAATTGCTATGTTTTGTTGTTTGTTGTTTTATTTTTAGTTCTTTATGAATAATATTAATTAATAAATTGATATTAGTCAAAACTAACGCTGGTCAGGGGAAGTAATTGTTGCGTGTCTATGATTATCGTTCGTGCAAATGGTGGCACTGTTTGGAAAATTTAAAAACAACACGACTGGCAATTTATTTGGATTTCGGAGGTATTACCGTAATGTTTTACTTTAGTTTACTGATTATTTTCTAAAATATTATTATTTATTCTTAAAATTCTACTTTAATTTATTTTATGAAATAAATAAGAGATGAAAACACATGATTGAGTTGATTTGACACGTTTTCGCGACCTAATTGAAAGATGTACGTGGGATCGGTAGGCCTTGTAAGCATGAAGTTATTGATGTCCTTGGCAATTTATGATTTTACAAATCTTGTTTTACTTTAATTTATTTTTCATATTATTAAACAATTGTCTGTACTATATCCTAAGTAGAATTTAATCAATTATAAAATTGAAACCTATAAAGTAGTTCGGCCCACATAATTTACGCCCCAAGACGATTCGTCAATATATATAACTATGTTTATATTTTAGTGATAGTATAATACAGTGTTTATTAGTTTGAAAAAAATACAATATTATTAAGTTAAATAACAAATTTGAGTGTTAAACAGTTAAAGTTTAATAGTCGTAAATTTATGGGGAATAATAAATCTATTTCTATTTTATTATATATTATTTTATATTCTAGATCCTGGCCCTGGTTGAAATTTAGAGTATATTGCAGCTGTAGCCTGTATACCATAGATCCAACATGAAAAGGACTGTCAGGTTTGTTAAATTGAAATGTATTCTTATTAATTAATATATTTGAATTTCTTTACTATACAAAGTATTAATTTTTCAACTACTGGATATTTATCTTGTCTTAAAATATATTATTTTCGGAATATTCGTGTAACATTATTTATATAAAATTTACATGTTTGTTGATTTCAGGATGCTGCATTAAATGGTCTTAGCTAGAGCCTAGAATGTTAATTTCTTGGGAATATGCTGCAAGGAACTGAGGGGGAGCAGTTTTTCTTACCAATCATAGGTGAGACTTTTAAATACATGTGTAGCTTCTTTTTAAAAAGGTTTTGTTGTCTTATATACAGTATTTGCTGTCAATATTAACTTAGATATGTTTCAATTTCTATGCTGTTTTATGATGTAAATCTTAGAGAAAAGCATTTAAAGATAAAAACAAATCACTAAGTTGAATAATTATATGTATAATTTGAGATTGACCAAGTCACTTTTAACTACAAACTTCTTATTTTTATTTGCAGAAGCAGTAAGAGACAGCCAAAGAAGTACTCAAACACTTGACATGCCCAGAAAGATCTAGAAGAAAATATTGGAACAGATTGTAGTTTAATTGTTAAAACTATTAAAGTGAATTTTAGCTGGACTTGAACTGTATTTTTGAAATAAAATATCTGAAGTATTTAATATTGTCTTGATATTTTGTTAATCTTGGTTACTTTGCTTTACATCCAAAAATTAAAGTATGATGGGTTTTCAATGTTGAAATGACATTGAAACTTCAACGTTGTGCCAACGTTGAAGCTGCAACGTTGTGCCAACGTTGAAGCTGCAACGTTGTATCAACGTTGAAATTTCAACATTGTTTCAACTTTCAAATCCGAATATAAATCCAACCTTATTTCAACGTTGAAATCTGACCATAATTCAACGTTGAAACAACGTTGATGTGCCTGCTGGGTAACTTAATAGATGTCAATGAAAAATACATGGCAGAGCCTTGAATTTTGCTACTTTAAGGATGATACGAAAGTAAATAAGGTTTATTCTGCCAAATGTATATGTTTGTTGAGCTTTAAATAAGTTTGATCAAAACAAATAAGTAATTGATAACATAGAATTAAAGACTTTATGTTTGCGTTGATATTTTCAATAACACGTGATGACTAGTATTTATACCGGAAGTGTTGAAACTATATCCGCCTTTTTGTAGAAGTTTGGCTAAGTAGTGTGTCAGATCCCTCCCTGCAACGTCAGTTCTTAAAATGGCGTTAGGTATAGGATAAACTGAAATAAATCAAATAGTTTGTGTAGGAATACATCGAACATTATCAATTTATATTTAAACTTTGAAGAATACTTTTGGAATAGTTTTGAAAACTAATTGTACAAACCATGATAATCTTCTTTTGTTCGAAGTAAAATCAACATGACAATGATCGAATTTTAGTATTTGAATATAAGCTGATCCTGTGTTGGTTTACATGTCAACAGCGTCATCCTATTCACGTTATGTTCTTCAAAATTTAGGAAATAAAGCAGGAGGAAGGTAATGACTTAACTTGTCACATCTTTATCTTGATTAGCTTTAGTGAGAATGTACAGGTCTGGAAAACCATAAAAGCAATCAAGTCCTGCACATCCCAAAGCAAAAAAAAAAAAATATAAAATCATACCGTAATTACATAAGTTGTATAATTAATAACAGTTGCATGAGCTTAAAACTTTGGAAAATGAGATTTCCTCATACAATTACAGCAGCCGTGTTTGTAAATATGAACGTCATGATTATCCAATGAAAAGCTACGTTACAAACATGCAGCATTATAATAATTATATGGATATTATATGTTATTTGGGTTTTGGAGTGATATATTATACAAATATGGACTTTTTAGCTGTTGAATATGATGTGATATGTACTGAAAAAATTAATATTGACCGAGGCGATAGCCGAGGTCAATATTAATTTTTCAGTACATATCACATCATATTCAACAGGTAAAAAGTACATATCTGTTTTATTATATAACTTATAAATAGCTTTTATATGGCTTATCACATCTGCCATTGCATACAACGGAAATTATTATTTTTCAGCTTGTCTGCTGTTTCCATTATTTGGCCCTTTCCATTGGCATGCTACCCTGTAAACATGCAGTGGTTGGGCCAACAACGGAAAATCGTCATAGGAAAATCGTTGTTGGGCCATGGTTGACCCAACTCTAATTAACATGTACTATAAATGCAGTTGTTGGCCCAACGTCGAACCAACCATAAGTTAACGCCAGCGACATTTCTGCATTGGCCATATAACGATAAATATGTACTTTAAAACAGATGTTGGGCCAACGTTTGACCAACGATACATTTTCGTCAAATATATTACTGCACATGACCCAAAATTTATTTTTTTAAAGACAGATCTAGATATGCATGTAGATATTTTACTGTATATAAACAGTACACTACAATGAGTAAAGACTAAAGTTTATAAAGTTTTTTTGAAGCCATGTTCAATATTGTCACATTCAAGAAATACTCATATAAATTAAATGAGAAATGTAAAAAAATAATTACTTTTTGAGTCTAGAAATGACCAAAGCCCAGGCTATGCAGTAGTAGGGGATATGTATCAATAGATCTATAGAAATCTTGAAGATCTGATGTATAATCTAAAGCAATTATACATGTGCTGGAATAACCATAATAAACCTCCGGAATCTTCCACTCTGAACTCTAATTAACCTCTGGTTATGTTATCAATGAATGGAAATAGGATCATTTTGGCACTACCCATCCTTTCCCTCGCTTGATTTCGAAGCTGCGTGGACGTGTTTACAGATAGATCTAAATAAATTTGTATTAGACTGCAATTTCTCAACACTGAAAAATGTAAGTAGATCTAGAGTTTTTTACTTTAATCTTTTAAATAAACCCTTCTAATATAGTAATGTATTTAAACCTGCACGGAATTAGTGTTTTAAAACCTGTTATACTATCCACGTGACCAGGTCATGTGATTAATACAAAATGGCGGATTGGTAAAGGAAAATACTTTGATGTTTTCAGGTAAACAAGCCAGAATGAATTTGATTTTTGTAATGAAATTAAAACCATTTAATTATATCAGTGTTTATCAGCTTAAAATATGATATGTTTATAGTTTTACATCTGAATTTATTGTGATAACTGCAAAAAATTGCAAGTTAGTAAAAACTGACAAGCTACAATTAGCACTGCAGTGTTAAGCTCATACAATCTGTTCTGAGTATAAATAGGTAATTATGATTGATTATGAGTTATTTGCAAAATTCTGCTTTGTTACTAGACTTTTTAACAGTTACACCACTCATTGCAGTAGAGTGTATACGAAACTTTGTGTAAATTTAATTTGAAGTGTAACTTCGCATTAAACACAAATTACTTTACCCGACTGCAAAAATTGTTTTTATTTCATTTCAGACAGCAAATTTATGTCTAATTGGGAGAGCATTGTTCGCCATGTTATGTCTCACACTTTGTCTCAGGAAGTTGCCCTAGAATACAACTGGGTTGGAAAAGGCTCGAAAAAAACATTCGAAAAACTTAGACTTAAAAAAGTCATATTAGGTTTGTATTTTTACTTTTTCAAAGGTGATTTCACCGGTGCTAGAAAATTATTTTACACCGTGGGTGTAAGATGTGACTCTTGTGTTGTAAATGATCATCATAACTCTATTTGTATTTTGACAGAATTATGCCCCTTTTTAACTTAAAAATTTTAGGTTAAAATTTTTAATTATGTCAAATATCTCTGTTACTATTAAATCTATTGACTTGTAATTTAAAATATTTCTTTACTATCAAAGTCTTATCCCCTTAGCTCTATTTGCATTTTGACAGATTTATGTGCTTTTTTACTAGTAAATTATAATTAGTAGTGTATATTTAAATAAAATCAGTAAACTGTATAAATTTCAGATGCTGTAAGAGGAAGAAGACAGGGGTCTACTAATAATGAAATCGAGAAGACAATGAAGGAGTGCCTAAGATATGCCAAGGATAGGGAAGGCGGGCGGAGGAAGAGATTGACTAAAAAGTTGCAACAACAAAGAGAAGAAAATGAAAATGATATGTGAACAACATTTAGTAATAAATTGTAGTAATTAGTATATATTTTGTTCTTTTATGAAAACAAGGCATTGGGCCAACGAAGGGCCAATGTTTATTGTAGGAAACCAGTCAGTGGGCCAACGGGGGGCCAACAAGAAGAAGGGAAACCAGTTGTTGGGCCAACAGAGGGCCAACGATAGGAAGGAAAACCAGTCATTGGGCCAATGGAGGGCCAACGATAAGAGTAGGAAAGCAGTCGTTGGGCCAACCATATACCAACCGTTGGCCCAACGTTGCCCCAATTAGCAAATTGACATTGGGCCAACGTTGGCATTATGTGTTGGGCCAACAAAGCAAATGTAATTGGCCCAACGTTGGGCCAACTACTGTCTGCTATCTGGGTAATCCCTATTGTTCATAAAAATGTAAAACGGTAACTAAAATAGACTAATTTGACTCTTATGTCCACCCCACTCAACGTTTTTAGCATAAAATATAGAATAATAACAACAAACTTGGCGTGATGTCACGTCAAAGTCTCGCGTCTTTTAGGGATTTCCAGAAAATCTATTTTTAGAAGAAAAACCGGTGAATATACTCTGAAAATCTATTTTTAGGAAAAAAACAGTGAATATACTCTGATATTGACCTGTTATTTTTTACAAAAAGTTGCTTGTTAGCCAATCAGGGAAAGGCATTTCAAAGCTATTTATAGATTATATAATAAATGGATATATTACCTGCTAAGATATTTTATCTTGGCAGGTAATATATCCACATATATCACTCCAAAACCAAAATAATAATTTTATTACCCTTCCCCTGCCGAGTTTAGACGATGTTTTAAAAAATCATTGCTGTTTCAAATGAAACGTCGAAATAAGATTCCCTTTAGGGTACCTCTTCATCACAACATGACGTCACATAAGTACATGACGTAATTTTCCCGTACCTAACGAATGTAAACAAGAGAAAAGGAGTAGTCTATTGAACGCACTTTTTTGTAATTAATATCAAGCTTTCACAATGTCATATTTCTTTTTAATACTGATGGGAATATGTATCATTACTCTTCTTTGGTAAATATTTATCATTTGACAGTTAAAAAGTGCTTATAGATCGGAATTTACACCGCGTAAAATCGAACCGTACGCGCATCACCTCAGCGCATGTTGTTTACAACGTTGGGTACCCAACGGGGAAATTTAGTGTGTATATTACCCGTCTGGCTCGGTTATATCAATTTCTCTCGGGTGATCAATATCCAATCAAAAAGGCGGAAAAAATCTGGAAGGGTAATAAATATTATATGTTATTTTGGTTTTGGAGTGATATATGTGGATATATTACCTGTTAAGATATTATATCACCCGAGCCGTCAGGCGAGGGTGATATTTTATCTTGGCAGGTAATATATCCACATACATCACTCCAAAACCAAAATAATAATTTTATTACCCTTCCCCTGCCGAGTTTAGACGATTTAATCATTGCTGCTTCAAATGAAACGTCGAAATATGATTCCCTTTAGGATACCTCTTCGTCACAACATGACGTCACATAAATACATGACGTATTTTTCCCGTACCTTACGAAAGTAAACAAGAGAAAAGGAGTAGTCTATTGAACGCACTTTTTTGTAATTATTATCAAGCTTTCACAAGGTCATATTTGTTTTCGATACTGATGGTAATATGAATCATTACTCTACTTTGGTAAATATTGATCATTTGACAGTTAAAAAGTGCTTTTAAATCGGAATTTACACCGCGTAAAATCGAACCGTACGCGCATCATCTCAGCGCATGTTGTTTACAACGTTGGGTACCAAACGGGGAAATTCAGTGTGTATATTACCCGTCTGGCTCGGTTATATCAATTTCTTTCGGGTGATCAATATCCAATCAAAAAGGCGGAAAAAATCTGGAAGGGTAATAAATATATATATATATTTTTTTTTTTTGGGGGGGGGGGGGATTGTTTAAATTAACTTACTGCCTTCAACAGGAACAATATGAGTGACGCCATCACCAGAATCTATTACGACACCAGCATGCCTACCTGATGCAAATATTGTAAGTACTGCCTGGATACTCACGTAAAATGCTGGGGTGTTGAATTTCTCAAACATTATCTGTAAAATAAGTATGACTGTATAAAACAAAATAAGCCGCTAGATTACATGACTTTAAACCACTATTTGACATGGTCTTTTATCTTTTTGCAAACGCATGTTATATAATTACTTATATTATTATACCCCCGCACAACGAAGTTGTAAGGGGGATATACTGGAATCAGCTTGTCCGTCCGGACGTCTCCCCGCCCGGCCGTCCGTCGGTTTTTCCTTGTCCGCCAAATAACTTAAGATTCCTTTGACCCACAGTCTTCATATTTAGCATGCAGGTTAGTCATGACTAGAAGATGATCCCTATTGATTTTGAGGTTGCTGGGTCAAAGGTCAAGGTCACAGGGGCCTTGAATTAAAAAGCTTGTCCGCCCAAAAACTTAAGATTTCATTGACCCATAGTCTTCATATTTGGCATGCAGGTTAGTCTTGACTAGTAGATGACCCCTATTTATTTTGAGGTAATTGGCAGTCAAAGGTCAAGGTCACAGGGGT